AAAATAATTTTTATCCTACTAAACTATTGGAGAATTGCTTCATAAATTAAGTCTTATTAAACTATTAGTAGATTTAAGAATTTTCTCAAAAGAATAAAATTTTTATACATATTTTCAAATAAAATCTCACCAGACTATTGGAAGATTTACCTCAAAATAAATTTTATCAAACTATTGAAGAATTTTACTTATTTTTTTGAATAAAATACACTAATAAATCATACGATGAAACCTCTTAAGAGTGAGACATTAGTCTCCATGAATACTCTTGAAGTAAGAGAATTATCTTAAGTTGCTACCAACTATTGGGATAATTTTAAGATTAATTTTTAATATTAAATATTTTGGTCAATTAAAAACATGTTTAAGGCTTAGATAATTTGAAATCAAATTGATACCATCCTTTAGATGAGCGCTATGAGGGTGCTATAACCTTTCTCACGCGTAACCACACTTTTGAACCTAAAATCTAGTTTCGTGGATTAGAATATACTATTTAAAAATTCCTTAAGTTAATCTTGAGACTTTTTTTTTTTAAATATGATGAATTTGATTAGGTGGTTAATCATACCTAAATAAAAAAAGATTGATGGTGAGTCTTTTAATCCATATCTAGTAATAGATCCATGGATCTATACATTATGGCACTCTTATAAGGCCTAAGTTTACAAATGCTATTATGATGATGTAAATGGCTTGTTTCATATGAGCTTTTTTCTTCAAGCCTTTTGTGGCAAAAATTGTACTATGCTTTATCAATTCCATCAACTTTGATCTTTTTAAAATGCTGGCAAACCTCATATTTCAATATTTTATTACCAATTATTAGATTTTCTTCATCCTTGTTTGACATAAGAGTTTTTGATTCATTTTTAACTTCAATGGTAATTCCATAGGTGATTTGATAATAGTTGAGTCAATAGGAGTTGATGAATTATTACTTTCCATTATAGCAAAAACTAGAGCAAAAGCAAGATTTGAAAAACAAAATATGAGAAAGGCAAATCATTGCATTATGTAGTAACTAGTAGATCTTAATAAAAGCAAAACTAACCTCACAATAAACCTACTCAACATAAATAGACACACTATCTCGGATATGATGGCTAAAATAATAAACATAATCACTACATTATGTTTTTTTCATGTAATATCGGATTGAATAATGAGAACTAGTTATTTTGGTATAAAACCAATTAATTGATTAGTTAAACATTTAGACTTATTAAGTCATTTCCAAGCAATATAATAGCTGTAGACACCCATTTGATTGATTTCGTTTTAACTTAAATAAAATTATTATTATTATTATTATTATATTTTTTCATTTCTTCTTTCGACACTTTATTTTTCTTTTCTTTATGACATTTTTCTTTTTTTTCTTCATCTTTTACATAAAATCACAATGCATTTAATGCATGGAAAACCCTCTGCATTGCCTAACTTGGCAGTATGAAATCCAATGACCAAAAGTCACCGGACAAATCTTCATTTTTTCATAAAAGAATCCAGAAAGTCCACAAAAATATGGGATTTGATCTCCTAATTGGTCTACTTATATAGCAAAAATTTGCAAAATGAACACATAGAGAACCAAGGGAGAATATTGCCAAAAAAAAAACACAATCAGGGAGCAATTTTTTGGATAGATATTCTAAAAAGAAACACATAAGCATAAAAAAAAAACACAATCCTTTTTAGTTGAGGAACTAGCAGCACAAAAAAAATTTCCAGAATAAAAAAAAATATTTATTTATTTATTTTTTAATCTAAGGGTTTGGGAGTTTTTTTTGAAGAAATTGGTTTGTGAAGATTGTTTAAAAGATAAAAAAGGTTAACTTGGAATTTTTTGAAATTTTTTGAAAAATTTTTTAGTCGCTAGAATATGAAAAAACTAAAATTTTTTGTCACTGAAATATGAGAAATTTTGAGTTTTCAGGCATCAATTGAATTTTCTAGTGATGGCATGGAGGTAATTGGCCGAAAACTAGGTAGTTGCGACGGGCGACGGAGCGTTGAAAATTTTAGAGAAAGGGTTTGGTTTTTAAAGAGAAAGGAAAGAAAAAATATAAAAAAAAGTCTTTTATAAACGCACTAAAATGATGTCATTTTGAAGTCGGATTCGCACCCAACTAAAATTGTTTTTTGACTTTTACACAAAATATGTAAACTTTTCAAATTTAAAAAATGCATGGTTTTACTTCTAAATAAACTAATTAATTATAATTGATATTAAAATTTTGAATAGAGATCCCCTTATACTAATATAAATTTTATGTTAGATTGTTAATATAAGTCTTATATTTTTTTAACCATTGGATTAAAATTAAATCTATAATTAATTAATTTTAATTATTTTGATCCAAGTGTCTAAAAAATATAAGATTTACACTAGTGTAAGTATATCAATTCTCTTAAATTTTAATTAATTATAATATTATTTTTTACTTTTTATTTTTTATTTATAGCATTATTTTAAAAATAAAAACTAATAGCAAAAAAAGAGTAATATTTGATTAGTTTTGTGAAAAAAAAAATCAGAAGATCTTTAAAATTGGCATTATAGAAGAGAATTTTAAAAATGCCAATGATTTATTTTTCAACTGTGAAGAAAATAAATTAACAGTAAATAATCAAGAAATTAACTTTAAATTGACGTGCTATTATTTTATTAATACATAAAAAATTATGAATTTATATATTTTATATAAATATTTTATAACACTTAACTTATTTCACAAAGATTAAAACTTATGTATTACTGTAATTTTTAAGTTAAATATTTCAAATATTATTATATAATGAAAACATTTGACGTACGAAAAATTATGGTGACTTTATAATTTTATTATTATCAATAAAATAATGCTATTATATATATTATATTATTTGAGGTTATCAAAGAATGAAATTCTCGTAATTAAAATTAAAATTTTAATATTTTATTAAAAAATCAGATAATTTAGATAATTGTTGGCAGGCTATCATATGTATGACATTAAATAAGGATAATTAAAATGCAAATAAAACAAATTACTGGCAAGGTTGTCAACTGAGTATTAACTCAAAGACTTAAATGAAATGCAAGGTGATTAGATTGATTACGAGTTTAAAAAATATTTAAATGTGTAATATTTTCTTAATCTCTTCAAATAAATTAAAATAAAAAAATAGATAAAAGATGGGATTAAAAATAAATTAAAAATTAAAAATATAGATTATTTTATTCATTATTAATGAAAATTTAAGAGGATGATACAAATTTTTTAAGGTATATTTAAAATAATAAAAATTAATTAAAAATAAAAAATATATGTCAAAATTTAATTTCAATGCGTAATTAAAAATTTATACTAATATTATAATTCTCTTAAAAAATTAAAAAAAAAGGAGAAATTCTGGGTTGATGTTGATATAATCTTAACCGCACATTCAAATGACCTCCCTTCAGTCAACCCTGTGAACGGGCTTTGTGGTCCCACCAACATTTTTGTCACGGCTCTGTAGTGTTTTTTTTTTTTTTTTTGGGCCAGACGCTTCTGCTGTATTTTCCTTTTTCGGCCAAAGACGCTTCAATCACATCCTTTTAAGCTGCCAAATCATATATCATATCATATCATATATATATATATATACATATATATATATTATATTATAATATACATAATTACTAAATAATAATTGAAGACATGAACATTTATATAGATAAATTTTTTTATACGTAAGATAATTCATAAAATTTTTTATTATGATAAAATATAAGATATTTATTAATTTTAAATTATTTATAAAAATATATTTTAAAAAATTATTAAATTATTTAAAATTTTAAAATTTAATAAAAAATTAATATAAATTCTAATAAAATTTTTTTATTATGTACATCACTTTATCTTAATTTAAAATTAATTTTAAAATAATTTATTTTTTAAAATTTATCTATAATTAAATGAATATTTAAATTTATCATAACTTTTAAAAATATTATTTAATATCTTTAATATTTTTATAAATATTGATTACATTATCTTTAACTTTTAAATATATTTTATAAAATAATATATAAATAAACAAATACATGTCTTAACACAATCATATAAACCCTGATAGAAATGAAGACTAGAGATTATTTTCTATGTTACAAATAAAATTATTCGTCTAACAATTAGTGGACCAATACAACTTATTAAAAAGGTACATGCATAATTTTTAAAATTAAAAAAATAAAATAAAGTCATGTGTATTAATGACATTTCCACACTTACATCTCTTTAAGCCTTTTATGTGTAGTTAAATAGATTTGATATATAATTTTTACATTTTTTAATTATACGATTGCAAGAATATTTTATGATTTAAATTTATAATAAGTTTGAGAAATTGGTTATTAGGAATCCATTTATATTCTAAATTTTGTCATATCTTTACAATAAAAATATTAGTAATAAAAAATTTTCAAGATATCTATTATGAATAGAGTCAAAATATAAAATATAAAAAAACTATCAGTATAAAATATTAAAATTTAAATATTATTATTTGATTAGATATTACTTATAAATTATTTTATTATTTAAATATATTTATGAATTAAAATTTATCAAAATTTAAATAAAAAATTAATTTAAATATAAATTTAAATAAATAAAATTATTATTTAAATATATTTATGAATTAAATAAAATTATGTAGTTTAATTCTTTACCGTCTTTTCATTTAACTTATTTTTTAAATAATATTTTATCTTCTCACGGATTTTAGTATTATTTTTTTATTGTTTTTTCATTTAAGATGAATTTATTTTTTTATTTATATTTTATATATATTTTGAATATGTTAATAATTTATTAATATTAATTTATATTTATATTTATATTTAAATAAAATAAAAATAATTCGTGCGTTGCACGAGTAGCGTGCTAGTATGTTAAAAAAATCCATGGCCGCAATACGTCTCATCACATCCGTACGTTTAAATAAGCCAAGAATAAATACGAAAGCAATCCGACTCTGGGAAGAGTCTGCGATAAAAAGAACAGCGACATTTTTTGGGCTGTTTTGCACGGTCCCGATCTGGATTCTCTAGACAGCGCCTGCCACATATACCAAACCCGGACAAATTTTCCAATCCCAACAATTGGATGACATAAATCCAGATTTCCCATCTTTAACATTTTTTTTTTAATTCCCACTAAAAATTAAGACTTTGAGGATTTTGAGGTGAGATGGGTAAGTGTTCGGTTCTGTGACTAAAGGGCCTCAAAGAAAGCGAGGATACAATTTTGGGAGTTTGAGAACTGGGTTTCTCTGCATAAAAAAAAATGGTGAAGCTTTGCTTGATGGCTTCTCATGGGTACCGTCCGAGCCCGGGTCTTGTTTGTCACCAAGAACAAGGCGTTTGCGGGATGATTAAGGTAACTATTTTGGGTTCTTTTCTATGGTTTTGATGATTTGGGTTTTTGAGATACGCTGTTATTTCGATTGGGTTTCTCTGTTTTTTCTTGTTTAATATTTCAATTATGAGCTACTGTTGGCCATGTGATCTTGCTTAATTCTTCTTTGTTTAATTGTTTGGGTAATTCTTAATCATTCCAACATGGATATTTTAAAGTTATTGGAAATCATTCCGTGTCTATCGAAGTCAAATCGAATTTTATTAAAATTTCTGCCTGCATATGTGAATATTTGATTGATATGACTTAGAAATTATTGAGATTTGCTCTATCAGTAATTTGCAACTATTTTTTCTTTTTTTGCTATATAGACTAGTGTTTTAACTCTTTCTCTCCCCTCTGTAATACTAAATATTTTTGTTAAAATTGTAGTGGTAGTTATTTATTAATGAATGTTTATTGTTTTGACTAAAGCAGGAGTGTCAATCCTACTTGCCATGTCAGCTGGTGAAACAAGACATAGTACAAACAAGTTCCTTTGATCTGAAGTGCAACCGATTCCAGGAGTAGCCAAAACCAGTTACTACGCTTTGTGATCCTAAACTGATGGTTGATGTCGATCCAATAGCACAAAGGCCTATGGTTATTGATAAGCCAGGTCTGCGATTTGTTTCCTGGTTTGTTGTATGGACTAGTTATTTCTTTTGCCATGTACTTAAGGAAAAGAGATATAAACCAATTCTTGTTCTTACAGTCTCTGTAAAAATTTTATATAATTCTTTAAACATTGTAAAGAATGCATGTTTATGGTATGAAGTTTAATTAACGTGCTAATTAAAATTTTTGTTTCACTGCAGTGAGAGCTTTTTTATTTAAATTGAGATGTAAACTCAATTCTTTGGCATGATGCTCTTTTACCATCCCCAACAACATGAGTTGAAAGAATAACGCGGAATGATGAAATAAGCTCTAGCATAATTATGATAGATGATTTTCGAAGGGAAAAAAAAGTTTTAGGAGCTAGATTAGGTGAATCCAAATGATATAATGCTGCAACAATTTAGTGGTCCATGAGAAAGTAGAAAAATTTTTATTGGTGACTTTAGAAACTTATATATTCATTTTAAATGTCAATTCTCTGGTAGTCATTGCAGAATGCTAATGGTCACCCTGATTTGTTCGCAGATGCTTACCTAGACACAGCACACTTTAGCTTTGGGATAGCTGAAAAGTGCATAAGACATGAAAAAATCTTGAAGTTTCTTATGTCTGGATCAAATGAAGTGGAGAAAGGGGAACTTGATTTATCTTTGCTATCTGATTTGATTCAACCATTGATGTTTGGTGTGCATCAGCGGCCTTATGCTTCTTCCCTAATTTATCCAAGTAGCAAAATGAATGCCCAGAATTCTCTTCCAGACTTTGTAGGAGAGATGGTACATGATTCAAAAATTACAGTTCGTCCAGATGGTCGAGTTGTACTTACAAGTAGCGGGACTGAGATGAAAGACATCCTTTCTGTTGTTGCTGAATTTTACTTATCAAGCAACTCAACTAAGTGGAGAAAGCAGTTGGCACTGGTCCCACACAACAACAGGAATGGATAATAACACCTGTTTGATTTAAATTAAATGAAAACTATGAATATAAACAAACAAGTCTTGTTATGAATGCACCATATTGTGGTATTTTGACTAATTGAAAAGTAAACTTAGAATCAAAATGTACTTCTGTCATCATTTGTATTTTTCATGCTATTCCCCGATGATCTTAAAGGGTTGAGTTCATTTGACTTGTGCTTCTTGTTTGCGGTGAACTAAATTTGTTGCTAATATTTAATCTTATCAGAACGTAAAATAAAAAATAGATTTCAATGTTGTCTGAAAGGCATCTGACCCTAACGTCTTCTGATTAAACAGGACTCAGAGCAATGAAGCACATGCTAGTACCAACCTCTCTTCTCCTCAGTTTGAAGTTGCAAGTATTGTACCTCCAAAGAGGTATGTGACGGATCATCTGTTTCAAGAACATTTCATTGTGTCCTTATTTATCAATCCCCTTGCCCTTGCCATAATTCTTCTATGTAATATAGTGGAAAATGTCAACTTGAAATAATAGGAATTTATCTTGTTTTGGGATCTTGAAATCTAGGCCTAGAATTTCTGTAACAGAGGGATAATGACTTGTGAGTTGCACTCTTCATTTATATTAATTGCATTTAAGACAGTAATGAGATGGACATAAGAAAATATGTATCAACAGAAATTGAATTTATAATAGAGTGAGAAACAAAATAAGATCATCAAAACTAAAATGATTGACCAAATATGCTAAAATGGTGGGTCTGACCTACATGTTTAATTAGGTATCTTCCTACCTGGCTATTGTTCACTGGTTATGGGACCTAAATAAATGGTTTGTTCTTATATATACACAGTTAAAATGTGAACTTCTGCAAAAACTATAGTTCGTTGTTCTTTCTTTTGAAACTTTTGTTCAAAATGTGTTTTTAATTTCTCCTATTTTTATGCAACTCATTTTTGACAGGCATGAGAAAATCAAGCTCAAGCCATCACCAAAGAAGACCTCTAAGAAGTTAGCAAGGGAGAGAGATTTATACAGAAAGAATTATTTCCATGCATGTGAGAACCTTCTTTCTTTGATGGTTGATAAGAGACGGCATGGCAGAACAGCAATTCTTTCCCTGAAGAAATCTGGCCCTGAACTTCCGGAGCTCTTGACCCAATTCTCTGCTGGCATTGCTGGAACTGGTCTTGCTGTACTTTTCTCTGTTATTTGTAAGGTAGCTTGTGGAAGAGTTCCATTTTCTACATCTAAACTCTTTAGCACTGGCCTTGGTTTTGGGCTAGTTTGGGTCTCATGGGCAGTTAACAGACTGAGGAACACAGTTGTACATATCAGCAAGAATGCTAGCAAGTTGGGTCTGAAGGAAGAGGAGATGCTTAAGCAAGTGGAGAAAAGTGTTAATGAGATATACTTCAGAGCTGCAACGTTGATGCCTGTATTAGTGCTAAGGTTCGCATGAATTCTGAAGAAAATTCATGTTCATAACAGTGTTAGCCGTTTTGGAAAACATCTTGACTGGCTGGATATTCTAATCACAAATACCTTGGCTAAATGTTGAAGATAATATATTGATATTGGACGTGGATATCTGAAGAGAGGGGTAGTTGAAGCGTATGATATTCCAAGAATAGAACTTTGACTTTTTATGCTATCCGAATGGTCTTGTGATGGCCTTGGGCACATATGAGCAGGACTTGATCCTCTGTAAAGCTTTTGTGTATATATGATAGTCATTTAGTTGAAAATGGAGAGGGTTGTCACTGCCTCAAGCCTAACGAGTAAAGAAAAAGATACCTTTCATATATAAAAATACAATCTTGTCATTTAGGCTATTATTAACAACTATGATAGGTATTTGATTTGTTGAATCAAACGCTGTGCAGTGAACAAATTAGAAATGATAATTATAATGGGTCAAGTTTCTGAATGCTATATTTACTTTATTGAAACATCCAAGTATATTCTCTCGAAATACATCTGTCACCCTGTTAATCACAACTCGTTTGTGAGTATCTGCTAATTTCTCTTCTATGAAAATACCTTTAAAAAAAAAGAAGAAAAATTTTATTCTTTACAAATTTGTTAAGAAAAGGAAAATAAACAACAAATATCTACAAAAATACACCGCCCTAAAAATGCAAATACCAAGCTTTAATGGCACTGTAGCAGTGTTCAACGGGACTATCATTTTCAAATTAACCTTAAAACGCTGATCAATTTGTGATTTTCGGATGGCAAATTAAAAAAAAAAAAAAAAAAAAAAACCATGCTGACTTCTTGTGCACTGCTGGAAACTGAATGAAAATTATTTGCATTAACATCCCCAAATTCATATCACTAACAATCTCTTTACTAATTCTAGAGCAAAAGATGTTACCAACGATTGATCCGTTTATTTCTACAATCTGCAACCAACAATATGGAGAAAACCATAAATGACCTGGAACAGCAACTTCTTACTCTTAGCTCAATACTTTTGATACTACACCAGCACCAACAGTTCTACCTCCTTCCCTCAAGGCAAATCTTTGTCCTGTTACATTGATGGCAAGCAACATATTAAGACTACCCTATTTTCTACGCTTTGAGTCTTTATTAAGAAGGAAGAGAAAAAACTCCTCCTAGCACAGATAATATGCTATACTTCCAATTAGCAATTTCATCAATTTTTTTGGGAAAGAAAAGGGAATAATACAGCATACCTGCTTCAAGAGGCACAGGTGAGATCAACTGGAAAGTTGCAGTAACATTGTCCCCTGGCAGAACCATCTTAACACTTTCAGGTAATTCCACTTTTCCAGTTACATCTGCAGTCCTCAGATAAAACTGGGGCATGTAATTTGATTCAAAGGCTGTATGACGTCCACCTTCATCTTTTGTGAGGACGTATATCTCTGCCTCAAACCTCGTGTATGTCTTCAAGCTTCCAGGTTTGGCAATTACCTAAGCAGTTGGAAGAAACCGGATGTTTTACTACATCCTTTTTTTTTTGCACATCATGTCAACAAAACTAATTTACCTTAAAAAAATTTTTTTTCAAAAGCTAATAGTAAATATTACTCACATAAATCATAAATAGATTAGAGTTACTACAAAAAGTTCTATTTATTACTACATAATTAAGTGGATGTAAAGTAGCTTGGTTGGTGCCATTTACCATTCCACGCTGCACATCATCTCTTTTAGGCCACGCAGAAGAAGCCCCACATTGTCACCAGCCTATTAGAACATCCACATGCATAACTATAGTTCAATACCAAATGCAGAAGAGCCTTGAAGGGTAAAGTCTCGATAATAGTTCACTTACCTGTCCTTGATCCAAGATTTTCTTGAACATCTCAACGCCAGTAACTGTAGTTTTTAAAGGGGCACCCTGCAGAAGAAAGTTCAATTTTAGAACTAAACAGTTAACGGCATTTCATTAAAATAAATCAACAGCACTCTTCATCAAACAACGCTTATCAGGCTGACTTAACAGAATGTAAATTCCACAAAATCATCAATCCAACAAATTTATCACAAGAAAATGCATGACTTCATAGAAAATAACTAAAGAAATCATTTACAAATATACCTGCATTAACCCCAAAATTTCAACTTCTTCACCAACTTTAATGGTCCCTTGTTCAACACGGCCAGTTGTAACAGTTCCACGTCCCTTCAAGACACCAATAATATCATCAGAGATAAATTAAAATTTGACTCCAAAAGTTCTGCTTCTGACATGCAATAGAAACAAAATCTTATGACATTTAACTCACACAATTTTCCTACGCATGCAATATAGCAATAGGAAGGAAATTTTACTGAAATAAAGAATTGGACCAGAATATGAGTACCATTCCATCTAAAGAAAATGCAAACTTATGTCCAAATAACATGATCGCATTTTAAATCAAAAAGCTCATATTTTCAAGTATTCAGCCCACTCTCCACATACTAACATGAAACAGAAAAAAAATGCTAAATGACAATATTATTGCCACAACTTAGTTACTTGACATTTAAAACAATTCTTTAAAGGAATTTGGATGATCAAAGAAAAGGAAGAAAGACCAAGACGGATGATAATCAAAGCCATAAAAAAGTGCTGCTAAAGCAATTGATGTGGCAAAGCCAGATATGAGCAAATCAAACAAAGAAAGTACAAGAAAAAAGAGTGCATGGCTCCCTACCTGAATTGAGAAAACATCTTCAATTGGCATCAGGAAAGGCTTGTCAAGTTGGCGCACGGGGTCTGGAATGTATTGATCTACAGCCTCCATTAGTTTCAAAATTGCATTTTTGCCTATTTCCTCGTTTGTACCCTGTAAAGCTGACAATGCTGATCCCCGGATGATAGGTATTTCATCCCCAGGAAACTTGTAGAAGTTAAGAAGTTCTGTCACAAAGATACACTGATGTGAATTAGTTCAAAGAAGCCATAACAATAACCAAACGAGAAATGGCAGGTTTAGAAAATAACTCATAAGGTTACCTACCACGAAGCTCCATTTCCACAAGCTCCAGCAGCTCTGGATCATCAACAGCATCAACTTTATTCAGGAAACACACAAGTGAGGGCACACCAACCTGCAGAAGGATACTTTTTTATAAGTAAATAATTAACTTTCCTCTAAAAACACAGACGAAACATCCATGATAAATAAATTTCAAGCAGCTATTAGCAGCGACATCCACCTGGCGGGCAAGCAGAATATGTTCCTTAGTCTGTGGCATGGGCCCATCAGGAGCAGATACAACCAGAATACCACCATCCATTTGTGCAGCGCCAGTAATCATATTCTGCAGAACATGTTATAGTTAGGCCATGTTCATAAGCTCTTTGATGAGTAGAGTCATGCTGTGTGTTAAAAAACAAGATAAATCAATGATTTGAGATGGTTAAAATCATTTAAATTTACCTAAACTTGTTAAATTAGATAAGACTAGCAGTAGAAGTTATACTTAAGTTGTAATAAGAGAATAAATAGAATAAAGAAAGTCCCAATAAAAGCTTTCCCCTCCGCCCCCCCCCCCAAAAAAAAAAAAACAAAGTGTTTATAGTTTCATTTACAAAGTAAAATGGCATATTTCTTGTCATGAGAGCTTCAGCATTCCTATGCACACAATCTTATCATAAATTAGTGCTTCTAGCTCCACCCTCTCATTATAACATACCTAGAAAGGTTATGCATCAAAAGAATCGGGAAACATATTTCCTTTACCATATTAAATTAATGACTTACTTTAACATAATCAGCATGTCCAGGGCAGTCCACGTGTGCATAGTGACGTTTAGCTGTCTCGTACTCCACATGAGCCTGCAAAATCAAATCATGCCTGATAACTTTGCAGGGGAAAAAAAATCACAAGAGCTAACTGCATTAAACCTCTCTATGCCATAACAAACAACTGAACAAGAATGCATGACATGAAGAGCACAAAAATTTACCAACCGTAGCAATTGTAATTCCTCTCTTTTTCTCCTCAGGGGCCTTGTCAATTTCATCAAAGGCAATAGCCTTCGCCTTCCCTTCTTCTGCCAGAACCTATTCACAAAAGACCAAAACTAATCATGATCAGATCATTATTGTAATAACAAATTCAGAACTATTCGAAAGTGATATGATTTGTGGAGAGAAACTAAAAGGTATATCAACAAGCCAACCTTTGTGATTGCCGCAGTTAGTGTGGTCTTTCCATGATCAACATGCCCAATTGTTCCTACATTCACATGAGGTTTTCTGGAAAAGAAAATCATTATACAGGTAAGAAAAGGATTCCAACCGTTAAAGTGAAAATCCATTTCACCTATCTTTTTTCTTTCATTATTTGTATCTCATGTTTCGACAGATACCCCCCATTAAACCTCACAAAAACCCTCATCACTTCTTTTTTGAAACTGGTAAAACCCCAAAAGGGGAAGAACGGCCAGTTCTATTCTTAAAGCCACAATTTTTACCGCCTAAACCCCAAAAAAAAAAATTAAGAAGGTAGAAAGTTGAAAGTGTGAATGAAAAAGAGATCTAATTTATTAGCAAATGAAAGGAAAAGAAACCGACGTGCGAGTGAAAGTAGCCATGGATCTCCACCAAGGGTTAGCGTTAGCAGGAACTGCCGCCTCATTTCCAAAGACAGAACCGGAGACTGAGAAATGGGAAGAAGAGATGGAGCCACGAGAGGAACAGCAAATTGGGGAACAGAATGACAAAAAACGCCTCGAATTAGGGTTTCGAAGGACAACCGCAACCATCTTTCTTCTCTCCTTTGGATTTGATCTGTTGTTACAAAATCAAAGGGGGTTTTATGTACAGGCAGGCAGGTAGATGGGGATTTAGCTGGTGCTTGCTTTTTGGGGGAAGGGGTTTTAGCTTTCAACCCTGTTGTCTGAGTCGGGGGTTTTAGAGTGATAGAAAAACAGGGCTTCTCGTTTCTTTTTGTTTCCGTATTAATCACTACCAATCCATTCAATCTGGGCTCCAAGCTGTTGTTGCGTGGTCCGATACTCTCCCCACTATTAAACACAGATCCCTTTGTTGTTGCCCGGCCCAATACCAATCACTCCTTTCGTTGAACCAAAAAATTTTTTTTTTTTAATTTTCATATTTACAGATTCTAACAGTTATAGCAATATCATTACATAAATACTTATATATATATATATATATATTGAGAAATAAAATACACGCTTACTTCACTAATACATATATATTTCACAAATAAATGCCAAAAATTTTTAAGTTTATGTTTTTAAAATAAAGAAAGATTAAATTTCACTAATATAAAATTAATTATTTTATACAATTTTATAATTTTATGTACAATTAATATTTTTATAAATTGATAACTAAATTTAACAATATACTAATATTTATTATACATATAAAATTTTGAATCAATCCGATATCTTTTGATCAAGAATAATATATTGTTAAATATATATTAAAGATTAAAATTTTATTATTATCGAACAAATAATATTAACTTAAAATTTGGCATGCATGATTTACAAGAATAGAGTATAAACTTCAATGGTCTAATTAACAAAAGATAAATCATATAAAAATATATGAAAATGTGGTGGAAGTGAATTTCTATCTTTTAAAACATGCTAAAATCAACTTTAAAAAAATAAATATAATTTCAACACTTAATTTCATATGGTTTTCATAATTAACCTAAAAAAAAAAACAAGGGATTGAGTCTTGGGGGGGTTGGTTGAATGAGTTTAGACTTTATAGTCCCTTAGAAGTTAGTTTCTTTAAATTAAAAAGTAAAATAAAAAGAAGAAAAAAGAAAGACTTAGCTTAAAATTTAGAAGTTGTTCTTTCTTTGAGATTTAAGATTTTGGAGGTAATCCCAACTTCTACTCTTCCCTTATTATTGTCCCAAAGGGAGTGATTACTGCTCCAATCTTAAAGGTTGAAACAGTACTGCTTGCATGACAAGTCTGATGAGAACAATGGGTTTTTTTTTTTTTAGATGCTACTAATTAAAAAAGACAAAAACAAAAACAATGATTGTAAATATATGTAACATTTGTTGATCAATAGCTTGGAAATATTTTTTTTACAGCCTTTATCCTTTCAACCTAATCCTTTAACTTTTTTTTTTTTTTCTAAGGGGTAAAGCCCTACAACAATGGACATTTGATATTAATTCCATTTTGAGAAGAGATCAATTTACACACAAAATTTTATATTTTTTTAATTTTTAAATTTAATAGATTCAAAAAATTAAATTAAATATTTTTTTACACTTATTTTTTTATCCTTGGATCTATTGAAATAAATAATTAAAAAATATATAATTTGTTGATTTTACATCCTATCTCATTTATTTATTGTGGAAATTATATCTTTAAAAAAAAATTAATGACTACTATTAATCTATCAACGAGCAGGGCAATGAAAGAGAAAAGGTTTTTGAACCCCAGCCCTTCTGTTTTGGTAATAGTGTGTTAATTTTTTTAATATCCAAAAAGTTATGGAGAGGAATGTATTTATATTAGTGTAAAATTTTTTAATTTTATATTTTTAATTATTAATTTTAATAAATTTAAGGATGAGATTATATCAATTTTAAATATATTGTAGTTAATAATTTAAAAAATGTAAAATTTTTTTTTATAACTTGACGCTCCCCAGCAATTATAAATTAAGGTTAAACCTTTCGTCCTAGTTTAAACTCGAGGCTAAAATAACAAAAAAAAAAGTTTTTTTTTCACTTTGATTCAACTACAACAAATGTACTTCTTAACCAACCATTATCTTCGAGGTCCAGCCACTTTAAAGAAATCAAACTATTGTTTGTTTTTGCCAAAGATTTTGTCAGTTTTCTTCAGCTTCTAATTCCATGGCTCTGAATATGTATTCTCTTCTAAAACTAGTCCTGATTTGTTCTTTTTTGCCTACTAATAGCCCCTCGAGTTTGAATTATCCTGCGGTGTTCAACTTTGGGGACTCAAATTCAGACACTGGTGGAATAGTTGCCGGAAAAGCTTTTCCACTTATACCACCTAATGGAGAAACCTACTTCCTTGAACCCTCTGGGAGATTCTGCGATGGTCGCTTAATCATTGATTTTCTAAGTATTGTTATCTTCCTCTTTTTTTTTTTTTTCTTTTAACGTGTTTGTTTAATAGGGAAGTCCACTGCCTGCATGCATATGGTGGAGATTCTGGAAATTTAACACATTTTTTTCGCTTTTGTACCGCAGTGGAGGCAATGGAGCTTCCATACCTGAACCCATATTTGGATTCCGTTGGCTCTCCCAGTTTCGCGACAGGGTGCAATTTTGCAACCGGAGGGTCTACCATACTTCCAGCCAATGCAGTTTCAACAAGCCCTTTTTCCTTTAACCTTCAGCTATCTCAATTCTTCAGATTCAAGAATCGAGTCATTGCATTACTCTTGGAAGGTATTCATCATTGGACAAGCTTTTTAAGTTTTGACAATAATCATACCTGACAATTAATGCATATATGGTTCTTGTTTCAGATAAGGAACTTCAGAGATATCTCCCTCCAGAGGATTCTTTCAAGCAGGGCCTTTACATGTTTGATATTGGCCAGAATGATCTTGATGCTGCATTCTACTCTTCAACATCAGAGGAACAAGTACTTGCTTCGATTCCTAAAATTCTGTCAGGACTCAAGTATGGAATTAAGGTTCTGTCAAGCTCTCTTTGTCACAGAAATTATTTGTACTAGTTCTAATAAAGCTGAAATAAATATTACTACTACTATTATTTTTTGGTACAAAGGAGGCCATAACCTAGAGATATGCAAGAGGTTTTAAGTGTTGAGATTTTAACTCAATGCCACCTCTTAAGGCAGTCACATGAACCAACCGAATTAAACTCAGAATTCTAGTGCTACTACTATACTTATTCCTATTTCTTGCTTTTCCAGAGATTATATGATGCAGGAGCAAGGAATTTCTGGATTCATAACACCGGTCCCCTTGGATGCTTGCCAAGAATTATTGCTACATTTGGAAAAAACGCATCGAATCTAGATGAGCTTGGTTGCATAATTTCACACAACCGAGCAGCAAATGTTTTCAACTTGAAACTCTATGATATCTGTCTTAAGTTCCTGGCACAATTGCCTGAAGCCAATTGCACTTTCGTTGACATTTACTCAATAAAGCTAAACCTTATTTCAAACTATTCTCTATATGGTAACCAAGTTATTACATGTCCATCTCTCGAATTTCAAGCATTTTTGCCATCATTAAATTTTTTCTTGTTCATCATCTGTTATTCGAACTGGATTTGTTTTCAGGATTCCAACAACCTTTAGCAGCATGCTGTGGTTATGGTGGGCCTCCATTGAATTTTGACACTAGGATTACTTGTGGTGTAACTAAGAATCTGAATGGGAGCATAGTGACAGCAAACTCATGCAACAACACTGCTAAGAATATAAATTGGGATGGAAACCATTATACAGAAGCTGCAAATAGATTTGTTGCAGACTTAATACTATCAGGAAACTACTCTGATTCACCTCACTTGGCGAATGCACCGTTAATTCTTACCTAAGCAAAGATGGGGAATGAAGCTAATGTTGTTGTATTCAGTTTTTACTTCATTTGTACCACTTTATGAGAGTTGATATATATTGCAATGACAGATAGATGTTAAAAGCATGGCCAAATATGTTGAATAAAGACAATTTGTGAAATCTTTTGTTCTGGTGAAAACAGAAGGGTTCATGAAAAGAGTTGTAATTCGAAGTAGTGAAATTTCAGCGTTTGCAGCTTTCATCTTCTATTTCCGTTATCATGTATAATGAAAATTTACTGCAGATGAATTTAACTTTGTACAATGAAAAGTTCCCTTTCTTTTCATCGGCTGGAAAGTGCTATAAATCCAGTTTTGATTGAAGGAAAACAAGGTGAGATAAATGCAGGCTCTACACTCTTAATTTCCCTTTTTTTTTTAATATAGGATCGTATAATAATGATCAAGAAATATCATTTTCATTGTTGCTAGGAATCCAAAATCATAAATTTGAAAGGTAATGATTGGTAGAACAAACAATGGCTGGTGCAATAATTAGCTTGAATGTCGATTTGTAGGTTAAGAACAATAAGTTAGCATCATCCTAGCACTCCACCACCATAACTCAAAAACCGTGCATGCATGCATGCATAGGACAGGACCTTTAATAGGCGGGCATGGTGAAGGTAGGTAGGTAAGCCATCGGTTTTGATCCTAATTTTATAACTAAATTTTTTGGCTCTGCAGGGCTGTCGTAATGGTTTTGAGACCGTACGTAAAAGAGTTTTAAAATCGAAATAAATGGAGGAGTCGCCACTAATCTTTGTTAGGATGTGATTGGTCACTCAAAAGTTTATCTTTTTAATAAAACTATAAAAACGGATTTAAAGTTTATCAAAAAGATAAATTTTGGTCTACGAAAAATCAGGTTGAATCCGGGAGTCGGTTACGTGTGGGGAAGGATTAGCACCCCACAACACCCATAAATTGGTACCATTTAATTATGCGTTATTTTCGGTGTTGGATAAAAATGGTTTTAATTTGAAATTTAACAATAATTTCCTTCATTTGAAAAAATAAAATTTTGCTAAAATTTTTATTTAGAAATATTGAGAAAATCTTTAAGTTAAAGAATTATCTTAAAATTCTCCAATATCTAGGCAGAATTTAAAATAACTCTTTTCGCTTAAGATTTAACACAACAATACTTAAAATGAAATAACAATCTTTATAGAAAATAATTGTTAGTGACTCTCCAACATTTAGGCAGAGTACCAAGAATTATTTCTTTCGAAATATTATTTTTATTTTATTTTGTAGTATCACAACTTTTTTTTTAAAATGTGTTATTCTTTTTTTTAATTGTAAAATATTTTATTATCAAACAGTAAATTAAAGAAAGAATAATGCTGACAATTATCGATGATAAATGCTAATGTTATATGCTAATGGATGTCATATAAAATGAAAATGCAATTTAAAAGTTAGATTCTTAAGTATAATGAGACACCCCTGACTCTCCCAACATCCTAGGCAGAGTTTAGTGTGACTGTTTATATTTAAGATCCTAATTTACTATTATACTTTTTATTTATTAATCTTATTATTAATTTGAATTAAGAACTCGTGTAAAAAACTTAATGAAATGAAGTTTCCTAAATACCTCATCATTTTAGGCGCATTCGGGAACAAATCATTTCATGTAAGACTTTCACACGTATCCTTAAGGTTTTGAAATAGATTTAGGGTAAATGTTTAGGGTTTAAGTTTGGGGTTAATTAAAACACGAACATCTCTAAAAATCTCCAACATCTAGGCGGACTTTCGAGCAAGTTCAATTTCTATAATTTTTGAAAATTAATCAAAAATTTCTTATATCTTTCATTTTTTAAAAATTTATTAATAATAATTCTCCAACATCTAGGCGAAATTATTTTTTAAGAATATGTTTTATTTCCTCCAACATCTAGGCAGGAAAAAATTTCTATTATTATTATTATTTAAGCATTTTTAATAGATATTTTTAATTATTACTTTACTTTGTTTTCATTTTATTATTATTAAAACAATTAAAAAAAACTTATTCTAACAAATTTAAAACTTATCATGCATAAATATAAAAAAAAGGAAAAAAACTTAAAATAACAAAAATAATAATATACAAAAAATTCAAAAATTCAAAAAAAAAATTTTTTTTTACCCGAACCAAATCGGTCAACAACGGTTCAGGTCGACGATTCGATTCGACGGTTCGGGTACGATTCGACTCGATTTAGGCACGATCTGGTTGGTTCAGCGATTTGGTACTAGTTCAGTCAGACCGGTCAGAGGCTAATGGAGAAATGGGTCGCGGGTCGGGTGCGCGGACCCCTGGTCAGGTCGCGGGTTGACGTGTGGATCCAGGGTGCTTAAAACGACGTCGTTTTGGGCGTTTATTGAAATGACGTCGTTTTGGCTATTGGCGACTTATATAAAAGTTAAAAAAAATTTTTCATTCATTTCCTTCGTTCTAAAAAAAAAAAAAAGCTTTTTTTTTTTTTGTTTCAGCCAACCTTGGGTCGGTGGCCGTCCGTCACTACGGTTGCAGCAATCCTACTGGAGGCGAGCTCTGGTTGTTGAGTCAGTGGTAAAAAAATTCCCAAAAAATACCAAAATGTTTCCCTCGATTCACAGATCCGACCTTCTTTTCGAGAGAACAAGCCCCGATCGACATAGATCGGGGTTTGAACTTTTCTGAGTTTTCTGTTTCCTCTTTTTTTTTTTGTAAAATGAAGGCTGATATGATTTTTTATTCTTGCAGGGAGCTTCAGTGCTGAGGTTCCTCTCTACGAGAAGACTGTGTTTTTTTTGTTTATTTTTTTTTGCAATATTTTTTTTTCGCAGCGTCACCCTGCTCCCTATCTGTTTTTTTTTTTTGGTTTGGCTAGGAGCTCTATAGAGCTCCGGTCTGCGTGTGTTTGAGGGAAGGACACAAGGCTCGGCATGGGGTGTAAGCACGAGCCCCATGCCCTATTATTCGTTTTTATCTTATTTGACAGTTTGTCAACGGGATGAGTAATTAGAGGGGTGAAAGGTATGGTATAGTGATAAGAAAGTGGGGTGTAGGGTCTGATGGCACTAGTGCCGGAGAAGGCACCACTGCCATCTTCGATTTTTTTTTTCTTTTTCTGTTTTGTTCTATTTTTTTCTTTTTTATAATTAATTGATTTTTAATTTTAATTAAATCAATTTTTTATTATTATTAAAATAATTACTGTTATATACCGAATAAAATCGGTGTTTACAGCTATCCTTCTTTGTACATTACTGAGAATCATGAATATGACAAAGACGACGATTTTGTCTGGAAGTAAATCATGGATTTCTCAAAAGTTTTTCTTTTGTTTTTTTTTTATGAATTTTTAACCACAGTTCGAGTGATAAAGAAAATGACCAAGATGACATCGCGAGTTGAAAAATAAGAAATCAATTAAGGCAACATCACAAGTCGGATAATAAAGAAAATGATCGGGGCAACATCGTGGGTAAAGGAATAACAAGATCAGGATTGAACTTAGATTGAATCACCAGTCAAAAATGAGGAGAGCGAGATTAAACCATGAGTAAGAGAAATACTAAGAATTAGGATTAAATCGCGAATAAGAGAATAAAGAGATCGGGATTAAACCGCAAATCAAAAATAAAGAGATCGGGATTAAACATTGAATCAAAGAATAAGGAGACCGAGAATAAATCACGAGTTAAAGGTTAACAACAATCGAGGTTAAACTGTAATTTTAAATTAAAGAGATCGAGATTGAACTGTGAATCAGATGATAAAGAGATCGAAATTAAACAGCGAGTCAGAGGATAACAATAATCGAAATTAAACTGTGATTTTAAATTAAAGAGAGACCAGAATTGAATCGTAAATTAAAGAACAAAGAGACGGAGATTAAAATGCGAATCAAAAAATGACATTAACTTGGATTAAATCACAAGTCAGAAAATAAAAAGACTGGGAATAAATCACGAGTTAGAGGTTAACAACAATCGAGATTAAACTATGATTTTAAATTAAAGAGATCGGGATTGAATTGCGAATCAAAATTAAGAGACTGAGATTAAATCGTGAGTCAAAAAATGAAATGATCGAGATTAAATCACGAGCCAAATATTGATGACAACTGGGATTGAACCGCAAGTTAGAGAGATAAAAGAGACTGAGATTGAACTGTAAGTCAAAAAATAAAAAAATGATTGAGATTAAACCATAAGCTAAATATTAAAAATGACTGGGACTGAACTATAAGCCAGGGGACTATATAAGACTGAGTTATGAGTTGAAGGGGATTAGGTACCCTATAGATCACAGTTTTGATTTTGGGGAATGTACTAGCATACCGTCTTCAAGGTCATCATCTTTGTTTTCAAAAACAAACATATTGATTCTTCCTGATGTCTCATAAAGAAACCTTCTATGCAACTTATTAAGAGATATATAATGTGTAATGATTATGATGAATGAAAAAATAAAGATGCCGTCAACGAATTATATCACGCATTTTCATCCAAGTTAATTCAACTTTTGGTTCAATTCTTTCAATCTTTAAGAGCCGCTTCCAATAGTTATGCCCTTCCAAGTCTTTCGATTCTCCTCCAAAAATCTTCGTCTTCTAGTGGACCCATTTGGCTTTTAATTGTTCTAAAAATCTTCTTTGAATTTTTTCTTTATCTTCTCTCTTTCTTTGTTTTCAGTGATTAATCAATCTCATTTTATTCTTTTTGCCCCCATATTACTATTTTTGTCTTCTTTATATTGATTCTCTTTTTGAGCCATGCATTGGTCTATTATGAACTTTATCAATCAATATCTTAATTTTAAATGACAAATGCAATGTTTTTAGGTTCAAAATTGGGTGTGAAACAAAGTCAGGTAATAGGGTATGTTTGAGTTTAAAGAAGATAAGGATAGCCTTTTGGGACTAAAAGAATAGTTAACTCAAAAGTATTTCAAGAACCAAAATTATCATGTCTCTAGATAATGAACATTTGAATGACCTTGGCCTACTCAGACCAAGTTTTTTATAAACTCGTTACATTTACGAATCTTGTCGCTTTGTGATTTCCATAATGACCAATCCTTGCCTCATATTTGTGACTAATGAGAACTCGTCCCTTAAAAATTATCTTTTTTAATTCTGGTGATAATTTATCCATTCGGTGCCACTATTTCATTCTCTAAAAAGCTTTCTCTTAGCTTCACCTTTATTTAAGCCACCTTTTTAGGTTTTCAGCTCAAATGACCCCCTTTGATT